GCTGACGTAACAGTTAAGTGACAAAACTGCTATGTCAGCGCAGTCAGTCAGTGCCTTGCCAAGAGGTGTGAGCGCCGTGCCTCGGCAGTATTGAGGGTGCAAAGGCCCGTTTGTGCTTACGGCCACACTATTAAACGGCGCCGGGTCTGGGCGTCTCCCGTTAATTGACGCCCAATTCAATGGATGATGGAAAATAATAGAACGCGCATAGGGCCGCTGCCTGGGGGTCGCCGGGGCGCATCTGGAGCTGGCGCTGGACGTGACAGCATGCGAGCCGCCAGCCGAGCGCGAGGTGCTGCACGACCACCTAGCAGCCCCTCGCGTCCATCATCCCCACCAGACGGCTTGGTGTCGGCGGGGTCCTCTCGGACTCGGCAAGCGGCACCCGCCGCTGGTGGAATACGCCGCATGCGTTGGACAAAACATATGAACATAAACGCATTGCGGGCGTACTATAGGGCGAAAGGGGAAGAAACTGGAGGGATAGCGTATCGGGCTCGGATGCATCGCTTTTTTGCTGAGCTTGAGCCGTCAGTTCCCGTCACGGAGCAAAACCTGGCAGACCGAGTTCGGTACATCATACGCTCGAAAATATTTGATGATGCCGAACTCGAACGACTACGACGTGAGGCTATTCCCTCATCGAATGAACCGGCTAGAGCTGGGGATGCGGCTCTTCAGGCCACAGACCAGCAGCCACATATAGAGGGCGCCATGGATCTCCCTGCTCTGGTTGATTCAGGCGATGATGGAATGGTCACCCAAGAACTAGAGCAGATGAGGAGTAAATTGGAGGAGGCGATTGTGGAAACGCGCAGTACGCCTCTCGAAAATCGACCGCGACTCCCGCGCATACCCCTAAGCAAGCGGAATCGGGCTGTCGTGAGGGCTCTCAACCCAATGCTGGTCACCTATTTGGAAGCCAGCCGGGACCTTTGCGTGACGGACTCAATTCTTTTTGGCGCCGCACTGGCAGTTTGTCGTATTGTTGGCGCCAAACTTCCTACGGCTGGACGCGCTACTAGACAAAGTAGCACCATTCCAGCTTGGAGAAGAAGGATTGAGGACCGTATCGTAAAGGCAAGGGCCCTCATCGGCAGGCTGATAAGCTTCAGGTCGGGCAATAATAGGCCGCGAATTGTCCGCACCGTCAGAATGGCGTTTGCTGGGACAAATATCAGTTTGTCCCAGCCGGATATAACGCAAAAACTGACGGAGCGCATAGACGACCTGAAGCAGAGAATCGCTGCTTGGGGGAAGCGGATTCGGCGATATACCAAGAGGTCGACACGGTTCAACCAGAATCGTCTCTTCCAGAGTGATCAGAAGAGGCTATATAAATCATTGGAGCGACCAATGGTACGTGGAACGGGCCAAGCACCGAATCAGGCCGACACTGTCGCATTCTGGCGCGGCCTGTGGTCAGAGCCCGTAAACCACCGCGAGGGCCCTTGGACGGAAGTTGTGGTGAGTCAGTGTGCGAATCTTACGCCCATGGACCCCGTCATTATAACGCCGGACGATGTAGCTGAGGCGGTCCGAAGGGCCCCGAACTGGAAAAGTCCGGGGCTCGACGGGCTGCATCACTACTGGCTGAAGGGGTTCGTGGTGTGTCACGCTATGCTCGCCCGACAATTTCAAGAGGCTCTCGACCAAAAGTCGCTCCCGAGCCTCTTCACTACTGGGATCACTCATTTGGTTCCTAAAGACCGGGATACCATAGACCCGAGCAAATACCGCCCCATCACGTGTCTACCCACGATATATAAGACACTAACATCCATTTTGAGCGCGAGAATCACTCGTCACCTGAACTCAAATCAGGTGATGTCGCGCGCTCAAAATGGATGTCGGGGCGGTGGTCGTGGAACCAAGGAACCACTCCTCATTGACGCGGTTATTGGCAAAGTGGTTAAACGCAACCGTCGGAACCTATCCGCCGCCTGGATAGACTACAAAAAGGCATTCGACTCGGTGCCTCATACATGGCTGGAGAGGGTCCTCGAGCTGTACAAGGTTGACTGTACAGTTAGAGACTTCCTTGGGCAGTGTATGGGGCAGTGGAGTACGATTCTTTGTCATCTAGGCGAGCGGATGACGGCTGCGGAGAACCACATAAGGATAAGAAGGGGTATCTTCCAGGGCGATTGTCTGAGTCCAATCTGGTTCTGCCTCTCTCTGAACCCTCTCAGTACCTTACTGGAGGGCTCCGGGAGAAGATTTCAGCTTCGGAGGGGAGGTACAAAAGTGACCCACCTTTTCTATATGGATGATCTCAAGTTATTCGCCTCCAGTCGCTCTCATCTTATGGAATTGCTAAACATCACTTGTGATTTTAGCAATTCTATTAGAATGGAGCTGGGGACGGATAAGTGTGCGGTCCTCCATGTTGAAAGGGGAAGGGTTGCTAACTCTGAGGGCATAGATTTATCTATGCCCATCAACATAAGGACCCTTTCCGAGGCTGAAACATACCGATACCTGGGTATGTCACAGAACATCGGTGTAGATGAGGCGGGTATGAAACAGTCAGTTTGCGATGTGTTTTATGCACGCTTGACCAAAGTGCTTAACAGTCTTTTATCCGGTGTGAATAAGACGCACGCATATAACGGTTGGGTCATGCCTGTTCTCATGTATACCTTTGGCATACTTAGGTGGACTCAGACCGAACTAAACGCTCTGGACAGAAAAGTCCGCACTATAATGACGTCCCACAGGATGCATCATCCGAGATCGTCAGTAATGAGGCTGTACTTGCCGCGGAAGCATGGCGGGCGCGGCTTTTTAAGCGCGCTTACCATGCATAATCGCGAAGTGTGCAGCCTCCGTAATTACTTTCTGACGAGAGCGGATGATCCATACTATAGGGACGTTATTTCTTGTGATAAAGGACTGACCCCTCTATCCTTAGCCAACGAGCAATGGCAAGACCCAGCAGTACAGTGCATTTCCGACCGGGAGACCGTATGGAAGGAGAAAGAGCTCCACGGAAGGTTCTACAAGGCTCTACATGAGCCTTTCGTAGACACAGTCGCCTCCCTTCACTGGCTACGTTTCGGTGACCTCTTTGGGGAAACCGAGGGTTTTGTCTGTGCGATACAGGATCAGGTTATTAAGACCAACAATTATCGGAGATACATCCTAAAGGATGGCGCCGTCGACATCTGTCGAGCTTGTCGCCATCCCGGTGAGTCACTTAGGCATGTCATCTCCGGTTGTTCGGCGCTTTCTAACTCTGAGTATTTGCACAGACACAATCTAGTAGCCAGGAGTCTACACCAGGAGCTCGCTCTGAAATACGGCCTCGTGGATCGGAAACTGCCGTATTATAAGTACTTGCCGGAAGCCGTGCTCGAAAATGACCGCGCCAGGCTCTACTGGGACCGGGCCATCATCACAGACAGGACTATTCTTGCGAATAAGCCTGATATTGTGCTGATGGACCGGGCACAGTCAAGGATCTTTTTGGTCGACATTACCATTCCTTATGACGAGAACCTCGTGAAAGCCGAAACAGATAAGGTGACAAAATATCTGGACCTGGCTCACGAGGTTACCGGCATGTGGGGTGGTCTGCCGACCGAAATTATTCCTGTGGTCGTTTCTGCGAATGGGTTAATCCCAGTCAGCCTCCCGGGTCATCTGAGGCGACTGGGACTCCGTGACGGACCGCTCCAGGCTCAAATGCAGAAGGCGGTGCTCCTCGATACCGCTCGCATCGTCCGCCGGTTTCTTTCCCTTTCCCCCTAACCCTCGGCCGTCTGGTCTCCCCTGCCGAGGGCTTCCATCTGGTTGGGTTTTATATATATTTATGTATTTTTTATGTATTTATTTTATTTTATTCATATTTATGTATGTTTACCATTTTCATTTACAATTATATATTTATACTGCCCAACCAGATGAGAAAACTTTATAGATACCCCAAAAATAATAATAGTAGTAGTAGCTGTAGTAGTAGTAGTAGTAGTAGTAGTAGTAATAGTAGTAGTAGTAGTAGTAGTGGTAGTAGTAGTCGTAGTAGTATTAATAATAGTAGTATATATTTATATATATATATATTTAAATAAAACTAGTTTTTACTGATTTTATCGCGAATATTAATTTTATATTCCCGACGTTTCGAGTACTTTACAGCACCCATGGTCACGGGGGGGACTGAGGTGTTCGACGTCCCAATATCATAGTTAACCACGGCTCTCCGGATTCTGAATTCAGAATAAACGTGGAAAAATTTCGATAATAGAAAATAAGCTAATATACGTGATAAAAACCGTAAAAACTAGTTTTATTTACATGTGTAGTGTTCGCATAAATATAAGAAAACAATTTATATTTCATTAAGCACCACAAGACCGCAAGTTTAGTCGTCACAGATCTTTTGATTTACTGTCAACATGTGTTTGCATTTATATATCGCAAGTATTTTTTTTTTACTTTATAGTTGGCTACCGAGCAATCAGTTAATTAGAGAGTATAGTAGTTTAGATATATTTCATTATAAAGTACTTGAGGGTAATATGGTCACCTTAAGCTTTGCCGTCCTATAAAACGAAAACTAGGAGGATGACCGAGATTAAAACACAAAGTCTTATACTATAACTGATATATTAAGAAAAAAAGAGCAGACAAGCTTACGCAATAATTACTAACACTTCGTTACAAATATTAACTACTCTACACAATACTAAAATCGGCTAAAATATTTACTACGAAGTCAACTGTCAAAATAGCGTCGATAAAGCATCGCCTTTTTGATCCTTTATTATTTGGTTGACTGATAAAAAGCTATCGTATCATATAGTCATCCATGCAAACAAGGATGTAATTTTGAGTTATGAGAAAGTGACCATATTAACCGGATGACCATATTACCCTCACGTACGTAGTATTAGACTAGAGACTATTGTTATAACTTTGTATGTTTGCCCTTTATGTATGATTCAAAACAATAGTTCTCAAATATTTTTATTTTTATTTAATAAATTAACACTTACCAATGTGAGTACAAGCCCTGTATGGCAGTGTCTCGTTTTTGCGGCAGCTCATACGGACAACTCGCTCCACCGCAGAATAATGCACACTGCAGTGCAGGCGGTGTGCTGATGCGGATCTTTTCGCCGAGTGCGCTGTACTGGGCTGATGGTGGGCGGTTGATCCTTCGACGAGACTCACGGCTTCTGCCATAAGAAAATCTATTTTGATGAAATAGATAGGAATCTAACAATTACTGGGTGGTAAAAATATTTTTCTCTTCTCTAGGAGTCTGTCTGGGTGGGTACCACACTCTTAACTATTTTTTTTATATAGGATATGGTGACAAACGAGCACACAGTCCACCTGATGCTAACTGGTTGCTGTGGCCAACAGACATCTACATCTATCCTCGTTTGCGAATCAAAATGCAGATGCGTTGTCACCCGTGACGACTAAGTTGGAATGCCTCTCTTCCAGTAAAAAGGGTCTCCGGTTCTCTACACTCACCATACGAAACACAGCAGTGTTAAGCTGCTATTTTACGCTGGTATTCTGTGAGAGCGTGGTCCTTCCCCGGTCGAGCCTACTACCAATATAGCTGCAACATGGCTCTACCACGTAAAAAAAGATGTTGTAGGAATCCATGGACTGCAGTAGCAACTTACTATCAGGTGGGCTGTGAATTCGTTTGTCACTTCATCTTTATAAGAAATTAAGATTAAAATTGATCTTCGTCTTCTTTAAAAGTTTGCTGCTGAACATGGGATTTTTCAACAGTTAGAACAATTTGCTATAATCGCCACGCTTGGCAAGTGGGTTGGCAACCGCAGTTTTTTATTTGTAATTGTTATTAGGAAGCCGCAGCTGCCCATCTCCTGATTTGTTTTCCTTTGTTGCCTCTTACGACACCCACGGAATGATAGTGGGCTAGTGGATATTCTTACACCGCCACTACACGGTATATTTTAACTTATTTTTCGCAGCCTGTGCGTAGACTTATTTTGTCGTCGTTTGACATCGGATAGTTATACCAACTATCCGAAACTACAGCAATGGCAGACATAGAAAGATGACAAAAGTTAATACTACATTTAACAGATACTTAGATGATATAGAAAGAGTCAGTATAGCTCCCTCGAGACTTCTCGAGACTTCTCGGTCGGCGTTGCTTCATTTATTACGCGTCAATTTCTTTTTAATTAATTGCTTTATGTCCTCTAGAGATTGCATATTCAATTTATTGTGACGTCACATAGCCTATAACCGGCAGACAATCAAGACGCTTTCCAACGCTTTCAACGATATCTCACTTGTTAAATTATGATAATTAATTTAGAATTTATGAAGGGACAGGCGAACAGAAATACATACCCACATACAAACATATATACATGCCGGTCAAATCATAATCCTCCTTTTTTTATCGCTGTAGTCGGATTTCTTTTATTTGACATTAAGAAAAATTAAAATAAAAGTAAAAAACATTTCACCGTCATTTTTCGAGTATTTTCCTGTCCGGAAGAGTGAATCTAACGAAAAAATTCGTACATTCTGAAGTTTTATTACGAAAAAAGGAAAAAATACGACACAAAAAATTGTGACATTTATGGACCTAATGCAGTGTCAGTAAGAATAGCACAAAGTTGCATGTCAAATATGCAGCTCCCTCTAGTCATTAAATGTTGATACAAAACCCTTAATTAACAAACTTTTGCCCACGCCAGCTCTAAAACTATCAAAATAATAAAAAGGTGGTGGTGATTCTTGATTGAAAATATGTCCTACATGTAATACAAAATGCACAAACTAAACTCAGTATATCATCTTCACACAATACTGCTGATTGCTAAATCCGATTGATTTCCATGTAACTGTAGACAATGATCTGGATCACCTTCTTGTGTCTTTAATTCATAATCACCTAAAGGACGAGCTTTTTCTTTCACCTCATCTGAAAGCGATTAAATTGAAGACTTTATGAACGGACTTCATCACTAAGTTCAATAAATTTCTGTTGAAGGTTTATAATGTTATTGACCAATTCAGTAATTTCATCCCTCCAGTTTGTGTATAACAGCTGCTGACTGTAGAGATTGTTAGGATCTTGAGCTCTATTATATCTTCGGAAACGTATGACCCTGGGTTTTCTTCTTTTTGCAGGTATCCATCGTTTTGTAACAACTCAATCTAATTTCCTATACATTCATGGTCAGTGTTTTCACTTTCATGTGTACACGTGATTTTAGTTGAAAAAGTATAATACGCAGCAAAATAAGCTAAACTCGTTGTATCATGTTTGATCACGTGACCGAATTTTATAATGATCCAGTATTTTTTTTTAAATATGTCTGTGGAGGATAGATCCAAGGACTACAAATCTATTAAAGATTTGAAAATACGTAAAGATCGCTCTCAGAGGCTTGTGACATAGGAAGTCCCGCCAGACAGTAAATTACCTCTCGGGCTGAAATTTCTGAAGAATTTAGAAATACTTTTGATATAGCGCGTAGAGAGTCTCTTATGCTACTGTTGCCATTTTTGGCCTCTTCCGCCACCGCTCTTAGTAAATTTGACATGCCTCGATCAGCATTGTTAATATAAACGACAATACAAATGAAACAGGCAAATGGATCTAGTATAAATAGGCAATACATATTAGCTCACTGTAGTTCCAATACTTTTTTGCAAAATGAATTAACCATGACGTGTTTTGGGCATCTCTGTAGATATATTTTTGGCCGTTTAAGTGTTCTAACTGCCAATATGTATTTTTCGATATTTAATTCTGTCGATGCTAAGTACTCATCAAATGTTAAATATGGTGGAATATTCACCAAGTCATGTTTTAACTTTTTTGATACTGCTTTCCATTCTTTTAGGCTTGGATTACCTTCTTCCAGGGGTGTCAGAAGAAGTGCCTTATCCATTGGAAGAAAAGGTATTCCAAATCTACAAGGATGACTTGCCTTGGGATTACATGAATGTGTGTGTTTGTGAGTTTGTATCTTAACTAAGTCTTCATCTAATTCTTCACTATTGCGGGATATGATTTGGTCAACAAACATTATAACCTTTTCAGTTGATGATTGATCTCCAGGAATGAACATAGGCACATCTTCTATCCACAACATCATATGGGCATGAGGAGAACCTCTGTTTTGGGATTCTATTCGATGGTATAGGTGGTTTATTTTACGTTCGCCAAAAGGCCCAACGAAGACAGCCATGTTCTTTTTAATTCTTTATAACGTGTTTCGAAAAAAATAACACATATAAATGGGTCGGACTGAATGAATCGCACTTTTTCTGCGTATGAAATATTTTGTGGTTCCTCAAGAGACACTACCTCTTTGTCAACTGTGTTTTTAAGCCGTTTTATTAAATAAGGCCATTGCGTTTCAGCTGCTGATATCGTCATAAACAATGTGGGGACACCGAGCAGGCGAATCATTGCAAACAATTTTTTCTTTTCTTCTTCCCAGTGTACTAGGGAATTTCTCACATTACTAAAAATTCTATATCCATCGTCATGCTAAATGAGGTTCTGTAGGTAGTCGTCATTAAGAAGGTTGTTTACTAAAATAGGAGCGCCGTTGACGATTTTCTTTCGAAGACAAGTAGCTATGTGTCCACCTATTTGGGTCATATGTTGTTCCTTTAATAAAGTAAACAAATAATCTGGCCGCATAGCTCTTCTATCATGTCGACTTATTTTGGATTTCATTATCTCAGTAGAACTTAGTTTTATTTTAAACTGCCTTTTAATTCCACCATGAACCTTAATGAAAGCCACTCCTTCAATAAAACCGTCATACATTAGTGATAGAGGGTACTTACCCTCACCGGATGCCATTGTTATGATGACATCCTGCTCATTATCAAGTAAAGTTTCAGCATTACCGGGATTTACTGGTTCATGTATTAACTCACCAGGTTCACGTGTGCATTCATTGTTATCTATAAAATCATCATCAGCATCAACTTCGTCGTCGTGTGCTCAGTTATCATCATATGTAATTTTTAATTCTTTAGATCATTTTGTCTGGACAAAATATTTTGCTGCTTCTCTCACTATTGCAGGATGAATATGCTCTTGACGACCGTATTTGTAGCACATTTTTTCGCTTCAAAATAAATGTTATTATATGACTATCAGATGCATCCCTTGGTAACGCTGAGACCATAGTGTTAACATCAACTGGAACGTTCACCACATTCCCTACCAATCCATGTTGAAAACTGAGACCTTGACCTCGCCTAACTATTTTAAGGAATATATGTCGTGGTGATACAATACGTTCCTCAAGTGGAGTAAGTTGTTGCAGAACACCTGGATTTACAAGATAAGTTAAACTATTATACATGGCAAGCCGTGGTATTTTTCCTTCTTTTAGATATTTTTGACACGTGTAACAAAATGAACCACAGTCACCAGATGTATTGATTAGAAATAAATCATTTAGGTTTTGATCTGAAAATGTTTTAGGCAACTTATCTTTTCTCATGACTAAGCGAATTTTGTGCTACAAACGACCGCAGCAGGAACAGATATTCGTGTAACCATCTGGGATATTATCAAAATATTTTGACGTATAGCCATACAATCACGTAGATTAATATTTTTTCTGAAATTACGCGTCACTTTCTCACGTTCAACATTATCTGAATCCTGCCTATTTAATTGATGTTCAATTGTATTATGAGTTTGCTCTTCATTCCTGTATATTGGATCCTCGCGTAACACACGATGAGCAGCAGTGTCACGAGCTGGTTCATTTTCTCTGTATACAAGGTCCTCGGGTAATACACAACGAGCAGCCGTGTCACGAGCACGTATATTATCACGTTTCCTTGTAGATTCTTGTGAACTTTGTAATTTCTTTGATAGTCTGTTTCTTATTCTCTCCTTAATTTTAACGTCTTCTCTTTTCTTGATATACGTTTTTTCTCTTTAATATATTTTTAAGGTCTTCTAACGCTTTTCGTTTACGAGGAACAGAAATACTTTTTTGAGAAAGTATATCACCAGACTTATCTTTTATTTTTATAGGAGAGGGGGCAAACGAGCATGCGGCTCACCTGATGGTAAGTGACTACCGCCGCCCATGAACAACCGCAACACCAGGGGAATTGCAGATGCGTTGCCGGTCTTTTAAAAAGGAGTAGGCTCTTTTCTTGAAGGTCCCTAAGTCGTATCGGTCCG